CAGTCTCTGAGAGCATTTAAGGAGATTATCCTTCTAATGAGCCCTCACTTCATTCTTCGTGAAGCCTGAATTATTATGTTTGTCTGTCCTTTCAAATTACTGTTTTAATATTCCTATTACCTCGTGGAGCCTCTAGACTCCCTCTATAAGTCATAGCAGTGTTGGTAGATGCACTTGTGTCCATTCACTAGAAAAAACATGTTGTGGTTTCTCATTTTCCAGTCCAGTACAGGCGCTAATGCCAGAGTGTGTATAATGCCCCGGAGTCCCACATCACAGAATTAACCTCAGTTAGCCACATAGCGCTCTGACAGTCTCTGCTCAGACCAATTATACATGCCTTCACATGAGCAGCACCACAAACAAACTGTGTGGTGTCTTGGTGAATAGCCGCAGTGTTTTTTTATAGTCATTTGTTGGTTGAGAACGCTACTCTGACCTCTGGGATCTCACCACTGCTCAGGCTGAGCTCTGGGGAGTCTTTATCAGACATTAGAATATGATTACATTCCTCTCTGCGGGACGCCCACTCACTGTGTCCTGTCAGGAGAGGTCTGCACTGATAGGGAGGGCTGTGTGGGGAGGGCTGCACGGGGAGGGGAGAGCTGCGGAGCCATGGAGCTGTGTGTCACCAGTCTTTGGATCCCCGGGGCTTTTGGGTTGTACTCCCCCACCCCCACACTTGTGTTAGTGATTCTTCAGAATAGTCATAAAACAATAATTATTTAATATGTGTCTTTTTTGGTTGGTACACAAAATAATCAGTATGGTTAGTGGGGCAACAGTGGCTTAGTGGTTAGAGTATTTGTCCACCAACCCACAGGTCGCAGGACTGATTCTCACTTAGACCAAGCTCTGTTGTTGTGTCCTTAGGCAAGACAGTTCACCCACCTTGCCTAGTACTATGAATGTGAAGAGCCATACGTTCTGTGTTGGCAATGATTCCCAAGATCGAGGATTTAAAGCCAGAACAAAGAGTATGTTCAGGGTATTTTATCAAGGGGAAAGACGTTATTGCCCTTCTTCTTACGGGATTTGGGAAAAGCTGAATATACCCGTTAGTCCCGTTAGTGGCGCTTTAGATATGTCAGGACCAAATAGCAGTGATTGGTTAAATAAAAAAATGTACCCGACTACCATCGAGCAAACTAATTCTCTGCTCCGAGGTCCACGAAGTGAAACCGGCTGGTGAATCAGGCTTGGCCAGAGGGGCAGATGGCACATATTTGCTCTCTAAGTTCCATTACTCTACCCCAGGGCAGCTGTGACTACATTAGTAGCTTAACACCACCGAGGCTTTGAGAATTGGCATTACTCTTATCTGTCTTCATGGAGACAAACAGGTGACACTACCAGCAAAAGTTAAAGGTCAGATCTGTGGAGAGGAGCATCTACTTTAAGAATGCATATTTTTTAGCAATAACAGCTTGTGTATTTCAGTGAGGAACCTTTAAGTCTCATCAAGCACAGCTATATTTATGGATTAATTTAGTGACATAATCCTGGCATTTTAGTTTGTGAGTATCCTAATTTGTAGAAAACTGCAATAGTAACAAATACCGCTGACTGTTGGGGCAGGAGAATCCCCGGTTGTGTGGTTTACATGCAGCTGCTCTGGTCAGACACTGAAGCTGACAAACCAATTCTGAAACAGGAAGCCCGGAGAGCGCTGTCTGAGCCCCGCGGCGTCTCTGCCCACTGCCACCATGTCAATATCAGCCATAATGAGACAATTGAGACTATTAGTGCTGCACCGTGACACTGCAGAGGTGTGCTGTGGCAAAATACTAAATACATATCTCAAATAAATCACTCCGGTTTGCAGATATTAACCGTAAAATTTACTTTTTCTCCATCATATATGTTTACAGTAATATAGTATGACATATCAATAAAGGGGGAGGGCATCCTTGTGATTTTAAACTTGCTGAAAGGACATAGGGCATGCAAACTTCATAAAGGTATATCTATTTAACTTTCATATGTTCTTGCTGAATGTTCCACAGTATGGCATTAAACTTAAACATCTGCAGAGTCAAAAAGGTGAAACCACTAAGCCAAGTTACAGGTCCAGACCGTGGACAGGCGATCACTGTTTTTCAAGGTATTTTTGAGCATTAAAACATCTCTAAATGATTAAGTGTAGGTTAGATCGTTTTGTTGTAATACTGTAGAACATTCCAGACAAAGCAATCAGATCTCCCCGGAGACAAGCATGTTACAGAGTGCAACTTTAACATCTTTGGTTGGCAAATGTGTTAATCTAATTCTTTGCAGAGAAGTAGAAACACAAATCTTTCTCCCACAACACCCCAACAATTTAATAAAGTAAAATAAATAAACTCTGTGTGGTTAACTTACCGAGCAAAACAAATTGCCTTTAGCTCTTTATACAACCAATCCTTCAAATATAGGAATCGCTTTTTAACCATCAACTTTGAAATAATCGCACTTATTTAATTTATTATTTATTTATTTTGCCGGAGAGTAAATCTGATCTGATTGGTTTGTAAATACAGAAACTAATTACACAAACAAACCTCGAGCAACACTATATTAGATACATAAGGATTTATTACCGAAAATGTACTGGCATTCATTTATTCATTCATCTCATTTCACTCTGTTTAATTGAAACTCCTTCTTCTAATACTACATTTTGCGTAGCTAAACTTTTCAAATGTCTTTTTTTTTAAACAATACCTAAATGTCAAGTTTGTATATGTAGTTCTCCAAATGAATACAATTGCTCAGTTCTATTCAGAGTAGATCTGCAGCGACAAGTTTCACGTGATTACATACTATATTCTTCGTGCAATTATTTAAAAAAACACCATGTGCTTTTGTCTGCTATATACTTATTATGTGATAATTGTATGTATCATTATGTTGTAATAAATTTAAATTGCAATATTGATTCAAAACATCTTAATAAAAGAAACAAGTCTGCTAATTACATTTTAAATTGCAGAGCCCAAAGTCCCGCCATAGTCCTGCATGGGTCCATTTTTAGAGACCCGCACCCGCCCGCACCCTCGCAGTACAGCATCGCACTCACCCGTTAACCCATGATTATATTAAAATTAAACTCGCACCTGCCTAGGCCCGTTAACATTCCATTTGTTACCCCCCTGTGCCCGTGGTAAATCACACACAAATTAAAAGTATTCTAACTGAAGCGTCCATCAGAATATTAATTGAAAAGTTACGATTTCAAGAATTACAATAATGAAATGAAATGAAACGGTTTCACTTTCTTCAGTACGAATACAAATTCACAGACACGACTTGACTGTCATCACTTCACAGGCTTTATTTACTGAGCAGGAGAAACATTGATCGAGATGCCGGACTTTTGTGCCACACACGCCACGGACTGGATTAAACTAGGACTAACCCAAGACTAACCAGGACTAACCTGGGACTGAACTAGGACTAAACCAGGACTAAACCAGAACTGAACCAGGACTCACTATTGGGTTGGGCTTGGAGGTGCGCCCGCGTAGATTGTCAGGTGACCCCAGGCGTAAAGGACCTGCTGTCGCTCGAACACGCTTTGCGGACACCCTGCTCGGCAAACTCAGCGTTCTCTCTCTTGAATCCAAGATTTGTCCTGGTTTAGACCTGGTTTAGTCCTGGTTTAGTCCTGATTTAGTCCTAATTTAGTCCTAATTTAGTCCTGACCTGCCTGTGTGTAATCACTACCCGCCCGCATACCCACCTGTAAAATTCGAGAATGTTAAAACCCGCTCGTTTCAGCAACTATTTGCCTGTACCGAACCTGGAGCAGGACTCTGAGACCCGCCTGCCCCCTTACTCTACATCTTGTTATCACAACAAAGCTCCACCCTGCTGTCACCTCTTCTTACAGCTGCAGATCACACTGACAAGCTGCATTTTTATTATTTTTCATTTATGCCAAATGGTAAGGAGACACTGGCAAATCCAATGTGTATCACCGTTTAAGAAATTAATGTTGGAACAGTGGGCGTATACCGCTGGGGGTCAAAATGGGGGTCATTCTGACAATTATTCAAACATGTTAAAATCACTCTAAATACAACTTCAAATTGGTAAATGAGAATGAGAACCAATCATTGTCAAAAGCTCTGACAGGTTGATTTTGCACTGTATGTCTCCTTAAAATTTTCTCAACACATACTATAGAACAATGCATACTATAGAGCAATCCAGTCTCCTGCTTTGAACTTAACTTCCCTGAATATTTTAGAATATTTTAGTCAGTTATGATCAGCAGTATTCGTTCTCCCCACCTCTTGGCCCCAGCCCAGGCTAATTACCCCGGGCTGGTGCCTCTCCGTGGGCCCCCCGCTCCCCCTGATGCCCCTCCTGTGATCTCTGGACCGCAGCTTCCCTCCTCTTCATTCCTGCCGCGGTCCGGTCCATAATAGAGCCGTGAGCGGGGAGAGAGTACACGCACTGCAGGTTAATCTGTTGACCCTGAGGTTGTCCACTGTAGACTTCATCTGAACCTGTTTCTGCAGAGTCTAGACCCCAGCTATTTCTGTAAACTGTATGAAGTAGAGACTAATTCCCACAAGGAGCAGCAGGATGGACCTTATAAGGGCCGCAGGGTTTAATCTGAATAATTGTGACTGGTCGACCACTGAAATAATTGTACACTTTGATCATCATATTGTTATCTGGTCTCTACAGACTCTAAAACATGTGCAGTAAGACCTTTTATATCAAAGACAGTGGAATTATTACATCAAAATACTCTGTCTTACTATCTTTATCTAGAAGTCTTAGTTGGCATCTTCATCTTTTATTTGTATCTATTTTAAAAAACCTTAATTTCAACTGCTTAAAACAAAATTATGTTAAAAAATAAGCATTAAACTATGAAAAAGAAAGACATGTACATAAGACTGAATGTGTATATCTAGCAAAATTAACATTGCACAGGCCAGATTTATATCTAATACAAAACATGAGTGTTGGACATACAAATGTTTAAAATTTAAATGACTCCATAATGATAGTGATTCTTTATTATAATATTGTTTGCTTACTACACACTTGTGCTTGTAAGAATACACATTGAACTACATATACAAAAATACTGTGGTTAATGGTAAACAGATTTCAGATATTGTTTTGTAGAAAATGTCTTAAAATGATTAACTATGATGCAGTGAATTAAAAAGTGAGAAATATTAAAGTACCTATTGAAACTATTCTTCCACCATCCTGCTCTACTGGATGTTTGTGTAACAGGTCCCCACCCTTTTCCCATGAACCTGTCTCAACCTGCTGCTGCTGCTTTGGTCACAAATTTACAGCATTCAGCATGTCTTTTGGAGGCTGGAATGAGAATGAAATGAGTAATTCTAGTATAATAGTCATTCAATGTAAGAGTAAAATCATGATAAAACAGATTTGTATATTTAAACTTCATCACACATCAAATAGTAGTAAGTTATTAGACAATGTATTAAAACACATGCACTTTGTCACTGAGTTGTTGTTGTTATTACTTTTACTGTTACTTCTACAGGCATATAAAGTTTATTCAAGTTTAATGAAATGGGCAGTGCCTCTGACAGAAAAAATCCAGACTCCAGCGAACAGAGGCTGAGTGAAGTTGGTGTGGACTCTGTGGAGGAGGTTCATGCTCTGACCCTTAACATTGTAAAAGGAAACAGCCCCTGCGCTCTGGTTCAGGTAAACCCCGATTCTGGATGAGAGTGGGCCTGAGACCTCAGACTCAACATTATTGAACCAAAATGAGTATCTGTTTTCTTTGCAATCTAACGCCCAAGATGCATCATTGTCCCCAAATCCACATTCCTCTCTGGTCCCTTGTCTCTTAATGTCCCTGTAGGACACTGCGATACGAACCCCCCAGTACCCACTCCTCTCCACCTCCCAGTAACAGCGGCCTGTCAGACTCTCTCTGCTCATGACCTGCCTTAGCCTAACAAACCTCTCTGGGTGATCAGGATAACTCTGCTCTTTATCCATAAATGTGACTCTTCTGTTTCCATGAGACAGAAAAAGTTGTTTGTGTGCTGTGTTTGGGTCCATTGTAATGTCCTGTGCATATCTGATGAAGTCCTCTCTGGTGCATGGCTCAGGTTTAGGCAGCTTAAACTGTCTGATAGTGAGTTGCAGTTTGTCCCTCAGCACTGACACAGCTCTGGTATTGTCCTCAAAGTCCCCCCTTACTTTGGTCTGGACACTGGACTCTGTTCTCTTTGTGAGTGTGGACAGTGGAGGACAGTGCAGTATAAACTGGTTATGATCCAGAGTGAGGGACAGTGTGTCCAGCTCAGAGATGGTCTTCTTCAGATCACAGATGTCCCTCTGCAGTTGGTCTTGGAGCTCTTGGACTTGACTCAGTTTGGTCTCGTGCTCAGACTGGATCTGCTGCTCCACTTCAGAGCGTCTTTCCTCCAGGAGAAGAATCATCTGAGTGAACATGTCCCCACTTTGTTGCAGTGCTCTCTTGGCAGAGCGGCTGATGTCCTGGGCGTCCTGTTGGAGCGTCTTCAGGTCTGTCTCTTTGTGCTGGAGACTCTGGAGCAGCAGGGACTTGTTGGCCTCCAGCTGTGCCTGTCTCTGGGCCCTCTCTGCTGCAGAGGACACTGTGTCATGGCCCTTGTGTTGGTCCACAGAGCAGAGGTAACAGATGATCTGCTGATCTGTGCGGCAGAACAACTTCTTCACCTCGTTGTGTTGAGAGCAAAGATTTTCCTGGAGTTTGTCAGATGGCGCCACCAGCTGGTGTTTCTGTAGTACTGCCACATCACGATGAGGCTGGAGGTGAGTCTCACAGTAAGAGACCAGACACTGCAGACAGGAGCTGACAGCCTTCAGCTTCCTCCCAGTGCACAAATCACAACTCACATCTCCAGGTCCAGCGTAGCAGTGGTCAGCAGGAGGCACTGTGAGCCCTGTCTTCTTGAGCTCCTCCACTATATTGGCTAACACTGTGCTCTTGACCAGGACAGGCCTGGGGACAAAGCTCTGTCTACATTGAGGACAGCTGTACCTTTGCTCTTGGTCCCAGTTGGTTTGGATACAGTCTCTGCAGTAGCTGTGTCCACAGGGAAGAGTCACTGGCTCCTTCAGCAGATCCAAACAGATGGAACAAGTTATGGTTTCCCGGTTTAAAGCTCCCTGCGCCATGTCTCCACTCAGTCAGAATGACTGTGTGAGGCCTCGCCCCCTGCTCTGAACAGGTCTAAGCATGAGAAAGTGACTGAGGCTGAGTTAAACTATTGTGCCATAGATTTCTCTCCACTCTAGTGTCTGTCTGCTGTTTACTACTGAAGGTTCTCTTATGTATCAAGGGTGCGCTTGATAATATCTACTGTAAACCCTGAGTCTTAAACTGTGTCTGGTTCTGTCTTCAGTGAAGATTCAACAAAACTTTGTCATGTGTCATGGTTCTTAAGGTGATACTAAAATGTAATGTAAATGTAATTTCAGTCATCTTTTTTTTTCTTCCTTTTTTCATGTTTACCTAAATAACAATTTAAATAACAATTATTCTGATCTTTATTATTGGTTACAGTTCCTCTTTAGTTATAGTTTAGTGTGGGAAGAATTGGGAGTAAATGTTTGCTGATTTTGACTCATAGTGGCCTCATATGTTTTGCTTACCTAGAGCAGAGTAAACGATTGTGATAATGTCACATGTATGAACTGTTCTGTTTGGAGATAGTGCAGGGCCTGGGCAGGTCTCAGAAAACATGCTGCAGTCACAAAGAATCACAATGAACAACTGCACATATTCAGGCTCTTGGATGAAAAGGCTTATCATTCCCTTTAACACTACACTGTAAATGCAGGGGAAGTTACAGAACGGTTTACAGTAAAAACACTTTTGCATAAGGCCATTCACAATAAGTACAGTGATTTTTTTATTATTATTATTTTTTTATGTTTTATTTTTTTGTAATGTGATAGCCTATTGTAACTTGTACACAATTATACATCAAAGTTAAAGTCACATTAATAATAACAGCATTTAATAAGCCCTGTGCGTGGAATGGTGTAATATAGTAGCAGGTAATTAAGCAATATTATTTCTTCTAATGAAATAAATATTGTCATATCTTACTTGGAGTGAGTGAAAGCTCCAAAAACATCTACTACTAAGATATATTATGGAATTGCATATTTTGAATAAAGTTTTTTCCATCAGGCTTTCTCTCACTGATGTTGTAGATTTGAATAAACTCTTCCTAATAATCTCGCTTAATCTTTCTTCAGATAAACACAATATATTTAAAAGAGAACTTCCTCCTTTTCTCCACACTGTAATTTATTGTTGTCTTTATACAAGCTTCATTTAGCAGCCAGCAGCTCCAGAGAAAAAAAAAAAAAAAAATCTAAAACAGGGAATACCATAATGCATTACCAGAGGGAGGATATTCAAACACAATAGTAGGATTAAATATTATGAGCGGAGGACTTAAGTGTCTCTTGGTCTAATATTTTAACCTGTGTAATTGAAGTGAATATAGAACATACGGCTTTTGAACCTGCTAATGAGTACGGTGCAGTGGAATAATTTGAAATGCACGTCTTTGAATGAGATCATTGACTGTAGTAAAGTTAATGGGATTCACCAGTGCATGTAAAGAGTGCAGTGAGCCAGCCCAGGTGTTATTAAAAAGCTATTTATGATAAAGACACTAATATTCACATTCAGCTTTTAATTTAATATACCAGTCAAGTCAAGTGTACTAAGCATATTTTACTGTATTAATATTAGTGTGTGTATTGTGAGAGTAGGTCTATAAATTATACAGGCAAGTATCATTCTGTATCTGTAAGTGCCTATGGTTCGACCACTCTTTTCACTGGGGCTGTAACAATAACTGAAATATCGTGATATCGTATCGTCAGAACTCTCACAATAATATCATGGTCCATCACAATATATCAAATGGCAAGGTTTTTCAATTAAAAGTTTTAAAAAAGAGGGAACTGCATAGGCTGTGATCCGTTACTTACTTTACTACATAATATAATAACTCTTATTAAGCACTTTTAAATCTTATTTCTTTGGAATATGGCAGCAATGATTCATAATGAAGACTGTTCAAGGTATTTAAAAAGGAAAAAATAGTGCATGTACAGTTCTGTTTATCCAGACTTGTCAAACTGAGGTCCGGGGTCCAAATTTGACCTGCAATATAATGATATTTGGCCCATAGAGACATTATTTATTAAAATTTGTGTTAGTATTTTGTATTATGCTTGTTCTGGATTCAATGTTTAAGCAAAACTGTTATTAAACATTTTTTTAAGGTTTAACTTTACATATCTCAAAAGAAGAGAAAACATGCAGATGTTGTTACATTTTTTCAATTAATATTTAGTTTGGCCCACGACTTAGTCTCAGTTTTTAATTTTGGCCCTCTGTGAATTTGAGTTTGACACCCCTGTCTTAATCCCTCCAAAATATCTCAATAAATATCATACCGTGAGACGTGTAACAGGATAATATCGTACCGTGAGATTTGGATATTGTTACATCCCTACTTTTCCCACACAAAAAATTACACAACTAACACAACTAAAATTCTTACCTAGTCATTTCTTCACTCTTTGGGTGTAAATTGTCCTTGTATTTTGGATGGGTTTGTGACATAGGTAGTGGTAATCTGTTTTTATAGCTCACTGGTACTTCCTGTATTTTGTATTTTTCAACTTTTTTGCATAAAATCTAACTTGACCAATCCAAACTATGATAAATATTCACCGTAATTACTATCTCACAATCCACAATTACAAAACAAGTGAAATAAAAATATGAAAACCTGTTATATATGTATTTTCAGATGATTCAAAGTAACCATCACCACCTATTTATTCAATGATGTTAAGAATATTATATTTTATAGTTACCTTCTAAACTAGCAATTAAATTTGCAAATGTGTTTTAATCTAAAAAGTATCATTATCTAAACAAAATTGGAACCCTTTTTTCAGGCCCTTAGAGTCTTAATTTAAAATCCTTGGCCACAATCTGATAAACACATTATGCAATATCTGATCATTATGAAATCAACATTCCCCAACATTCAGATCCCAACCAAGCGTAGACATGTATCCTGCAGGCCTCTGAAGAGATGTAGAATTGATCGGTCTGGCCTGTCACCGTTAGCCATGCAATTAATTGACCATTATCCAGGATGTCCTCCACTTTACATTCTCGCTGTGCCCCACCAACCCATTAATGAGTGACTGAAAATATCAACATCCTTAAATGTTTCATCTCTGTGACTGACACCTTGAATCACCTGTTCCAAGTTTTTTTTTACATCAGATGCCCTCCCAGTTCTCCCACTGTTGTAAGTTTTAATGTTTAATTCATACTATTAAGATTAAACTTTTTACTCCACACTGCCTAGTCATGGTGGTGTTGTTATTTATTCTGTTTTGTCTTTTAAAAAGCATACAAACATATTAAAATTTAAAAAGATAAAGTTTAGTGACATTACTTTATTTGTTTGAACCAACACTAGCCCTGCATATTCAGCAAAAACACTGAAGACAATAGTGTGAGCTGGCAAAAAGCCACTCTCCGAAAGGTGGGCTCCGGCTGTGGCAGATAAAACAAAGGACCGCGAAAGGGTCGGAGGTGGTGGGTGAGCTCAAGGCAGGTGAGCAGCGAAAACTGTATCAATATTACATGAAATCCCGACACCATATTTCTCACATACCAGACTGGCGCGTTTCTTCGCTTCCCTTGGCGCATATGTTGAATTATCCACAATGCCATTTTTGCCTGTCCCTTTGACGTTTGTGTCTTCTGTCTCTCTGTCTCTCTCTCTCTATGCAGGGAACACCAACCATGTTTTTGCCCTGGACTTCCTTAGTGGAGACCTGACAGTGAATGGACAGCTGGACAGAGAAAACCCGCTGTATTCGGCTGGATTCACGCTTACTGTGGAGGTGAGGAAAGGCTGCTGTCTACTGCAGTACTCACAGAAGAAGACAGAGACATAGAAAATGCGATAGAGATTGAGTATGGGTTTGGACATGTAATCCAATAACGATGTCACGGTATCAAATTTTAGTGTGCCTTGTGTTGTGAGATGAAACTAACTTCATTAATTTACTTATTTCAATCACAATGTTGACTAGATCACCAATACTCTCGTGTATGACCAGCTTTATGAACTTCATGAATAACAGAGTAAAGTCAATTTTATATAAACAATCACCTAGTACTAGTTTTTTGGAGTATAGAGTAACCTGAAAAAAAAAAAAAACACTTCTTGCATCTAAAATTGTCTTAGTATATTTTATTTATGATATTATGACCATAATAATCACGGGCTCTGATGACTTTGCTTGGATTGTTCCACACTATGGCGCCATTTAAAAATGGAGACATTTCCCTTCATTTGTACTCATCTTCTACACGCAAATGGCAAATTTGCCTCTGAAAACAAATCTTTCTAAAAACCCCAGCTAGAGTGGAGATTCTGGGAAACTACGGTTTGGCGTTTGCATGTTAAGTGAGATAAACGGAGTGTGAGGGCAGCTGACACGCCAAAACTGCGACCAGTGTTTACCTTTTGCTCTGATGATGATCATGAAGCATTAAGAGCAGCAGTCACATTTCTTCTGGTGTAAACACTTTTCATATGTTTGCATTTGCACACACAGCTGATTGATCATATCAATGACCAGAGAAAAATGACGGCTCAGAGGTTGGCAATTTTGCCACTTCTTTAACAGATTTTTGGAGAGGCAAACAGAGGCAGTAATGCAGGTTTTTCAAGGTATTTTTGAGGAATACTTACAACTGTAATGAAATAAATACTGCAGGTTTGAATCTAATCCAGGTGCCACCCATAGGCTTGGTGTAGTTATGATGGCGGATGATGGCGTATTTATTCGAAAACTTTTTTGAAAACGATGTGCACAATGTTATTTTGGAAAATGGAGGGAGGGAAATATTTGTTTCTCAACATACCCGTGTAAATGTAGCCTATAGCATTAAACCTACAGACCTTGTATTTTTTTCAACTTCAGGTTTTTATTGCTAAAAACACCTTGAAAACATTAATTGTCTGAGACAGAGGTCACCTTTACACAGATCTGACTTGGCCTTGTCTTTATGGAGATTGAGAACAATATAGGCAAAACAATTTTATCTCCATAGATACAA